TAACACAGCCCATTTTTTGGGTGGATGTAAGCAGATCTAGGGCTAGATTCATTTTGAAATTAGGGCTGTACGGGCTTTGGACAGCACAGCAAAATTACATGACTGCGACGCCATCTTTGCGGGAAAACAAATTTGGCGAATGTCTGCTGCCTTGGGGCTCGCTAATAGTATTGGGCAATCAACGCAGATATTGGTGCTCGGCAAGAGGTTCGGCGGGCCCCCAGTCCAAACCTCAAGCTGATGGAATCTTCCTCCACGGCTCAATCTCCACCAGAGCAAGCTTCAGGAAACTCAATCAGAAGAAAAATGCAGTAAAAAAAAAAAATAATAATAATAATAATAGTAACAGTAGTAATAGTCATTATAACTTGTGACCTGTTTGATTTTGTTCTGTTTTGATATTTGGAGACCATGCAATAATAATATGTTCAATGTCACTTGTCAGCTGTGGTGAAGATAGTGCATCCTATTTGAATTCTGAAAAGAAAAAGGATCATGCATCTTGGCAGACGATAATAAACTGACACAGACTCTGTTTAAATCCAGTCGCGACAGTCCTGCACCTTCACCGTGAATGTATACAATGCATCATTTCGGTCAAATACAGTCAGTTGTGATGACCCATCCAAACATGGACTGAAACGCACGGCTGATTTCTGAGTTTTGCTCATAGACTGAATGCCTTGCTGAGTTTCCCGCTTGCTACTAAGTCTGTGTGTACACGCTTGCTGGACTGCATGTCTGTCTGAGTGCTGGTTGGATTGAGTGTGTGTGTGGTCGTGCCTGTCTGAGTGCTAATTGGCTGGAGTGTGTGTGGCCCGTAAGGGCACTTGCTCGTTCGTTGGGCCCTCAGGGCCGGTACTTACCTGTGGCCATGACATTGAGGGATTGCAGCGGGAAAAACACTCAAGTAGCAGGTAGGCCGGTACCGCACCTTGAAGAGGTAGATGTGCGGGTACTGGAGTTCAAGCAGAAGAAGACAAAAGTGGCATTTTGAGAGTCCCGGTAGTTGTAGGCTAGGTCTACCGTCTTCACCCGAATAGAACGCCCGGTCATAATAGCTGTATTATGGGCAACTTCCAGTCCAGATGCAGCGATAATTACCGGGCGTTCTATTCGGGTGAAGACGGTAGGCGGGTACCAGCCCAACCAGTCTGAGTCTAGGGCCTGTACGGGCAATATCAGAGTTTGCAATGATGTTTCCCTCCGAAAGGGAGGAGGTACCGGTTGCTGGGGGGGCCGAGGGGCCTTGAAGTCACCGCCCAAGAGGTGAGCGGGCCGCTATATCTCCGGGCCAGGCGAAAAGCCCGGCCTCTTTTTCGGTGTGCAAGTTTGGCATTGGAGCGCTGGCTGGAGCAGCCCTATTCTGGAGCAGCGCTGCTGGGGGAAGGAGAAGGACATGGAGGAGGAAGAAGGACAGGAAGGGGGAGTAGCGCCAAGGGATGCTTACCTGGCTATGGTGGCAGCCATCTTCATCACCTTGGTGGGCGCTGCAGCAGGGAGTCCCCAACTGGGGAGAGCTACACCAGGAAGCTTCGAGGCAGAGTCGGGCATGGCGGCCTGAGTTGGAGCAGCCATTGCTGCTTTGCGTTGTCCTTTGCACAGCAGGGCAAGGCCCTAGTAGTCCGCCATAGCCTCGGCCTATGATGGTGAAGTAAGGAAGAGGCGGCCATGGCTATGGTGCACCTCAAGTGATGCCGGCAGTAGAAGAGGAACTCGGACATTGATTCTGGATCAGCCATTCAACATTGTATTATTATTTCTTGTATGAATAAGTGAGGGGAAGATAAGGAGGAGGAGAGTGTTGGGCGAAGAAGGAGAGCCTTGTCATTTGCCTATGCTGGTGTACATCATCTTCTTCTTCTTTCTTACTTATTCTTCTTCTAATCCTCTCTCTCCTCTCAAGTTCATTCATTTCTTTCTGCAATTGGACGGCATTGTACTATCTGATGGATGTGTATCTCGAAATTGGTCAGGATCATAACACAGTCGTGACCAGCCTGGCTGTGTTGCCCTCGGAGGAGGGGGGGGGGGGGAGACGTGGGTGTGTTGGTACTGCAGGAGTAGTTGGCCCTTTCTTTCAGCAGGTAGTCGTCTCTCGGACAGCCTGCCCCGTTGACGCTGAAGCTGTGATCCTGCTGCTGAGTAATCACAACCTACCTGCAGATCAATAGGGCCAGGTTGGTTTATGGTTTCAAAGCACACACACATAGCAGCCACGGGGCGTGGGGCTTGAAGTGTACTCCCTCAATTGCACTTCCTTAATCTGGCCAATGCATGATTTGTGACTGGACTCAGGCTATAAAGTCCTCGTGCAGGTATCCTATTAATCCAGAGCAAGGCACCTCTCTCAACTGCCAACTGCCTAGTAAACGTATCTGGATCTGATGACCAGTCCAGATACATTCGAAATCATGTTGCTTCAGTCCCAATGAATGTGGATGAGAGCGCAGTCCAGATACACTTAGAATCCTCTCTAGTGGACTGAAACCCCAGGTCATTCGGGGACTCGCCCTGACCTTACAGCACACTCTGGTATCAAGAGGGAGTCAAAGTGCAACCTCCCTCCACTGCAGAACATTCTACATGTATCTGGACATTTTGAGCCACAGGCAAGTCTTGAGCATCTGCAGGTGGAAAAGGGACCCGGTCTGTCAATGACACATCGCATGCATTGGTCACACTGTTGATATGGACTTTTGGAAAAGCATTCCATTCCGCAATTCAAAAACTGAAATAACCTTGAGAGGTGGGAGCATTAGAACTAGGAAAGTGAAGGGTGTTGGGAGTCATACCAGCTTTTCACCCTGTGCAGAAAAACAGAGGCCTCGGTACCTAAAAAAAACTCATCCTTAGCTGCGACTGTGACAACACCGAGTGCTGAAGCCATGCTGTCCTGGTGACAGTGGTTGGAGTTCATAACAGAAACCACAGCATGCAGCCAAGGCACCCATATATCAACTCAACAACACTTGTTTTCTCTTCTGGTGTGCCTTCTACAACACAAAATGACTCATAGTCATGACATCCACCAGTGTCTATAACAGCAGCCACCCCTTCTCAACTGTAAGGGGGGGGGGGGGNGAGAGAGAGAGAGAGAGAGAGAGAGAGAGAGAGAGAGAGAGAGAGAGAGAGAGAGAGAGAGAGAGAAAGAGAGAGAGAGAGAGAGGGAATGCCAAGAGAATTTCTCATCACATTCTTAGAATGTCCCCCTTGTGTCCTTATGTACAGCACTTCCAGTGGTAAAAAAAAAATCATGGCATTTCATCCAAGCCAACTACTTGCACGGGAATTGGTGCATACGAGTGTACGTTTTTGACGATGCAAATGATCGTAAAGCAAGAGCGTTGCAATGATCTGAAGAGTACTTGAAGCCAAATAGGGCCATGATCTGGAAGAGTATCCAGAGTCCCACGCTCTGCAGCTGCAGCCTTGCAAGTTGCGTTGAAGCTCCTCAATTCCTGCATAGAAAAGGCTGTTTCTCTCCAAACGCGAAAAAACAAAGGGACCAATGGGCCTAGCTCAGTTGTTACACCCACAAATTGTTGAAATACAGGCCGGATCCCAAGTTCGAATCCAGATGCAATCAGATAAACAGATGCAATCAGATAAACAGAACAAAATAAATTTAAATAATATAAAAACTGAATTCCTGGGGCTGGTGAGCTCAATGATGACATCTCAAGGCCGTCGCCCTTTCATTCCTTTTTTTTTTAAAGGCACTGGTAGAGGTACTAACAAAAAGAAAGGAGAATTATAATAGTGGTTCTCATTGAGCTTGAGCAGTATCTGCACAAAGGACAAAACCTGACAGCTCTCAACAACTGACAAAAAAATTCCTGGAGGCTTCAGACTGTGGCCTCGCCTGGATCTCACTCTCACTCTCTATATCCATTTGATGATTTGACTCCATTATTTGACAAAACAATTCTGTGCAGAGAATACAGTTACTGTTACTGTTACTGTCACAGTGACTATTACTCACAGGAATCATACTTATATCCAGATTCCAGAGGTGGTACTAGATGTGCTCTTGCTTGAAAGCAGCGGACCGTCTTCCTGTAATTTCTCACGGCTCCCCTGTAAGAAGATGAGAGTCTCGGCATGGTGTTGTCAATTTCAGACACTTCAACTGAATTCCAACATCTCGCCCACATTCACAATTTAAATTGATCCCTGCATAACCAGAACGTCACTGTGACAGTGACTGCCGGTTATGCACAGAATTGCAGAACTGGACATGATCCCAGTGTCGATGCTGGTGCCAACATCTTTATCACACAAGTGGGGGCAGATTCACACAGCTCTCCAGCTGGCAGCTCAGCAAGCCTCGCAGGATGATGCCATCTCCTCGTCAAGTTTGGATTGCTGAGACAAGAGAGGAATGCCATGTGCTTCCCATCGCCTTGTGCTGGAAGGTTGGGTGCGTTACCCGCCAGACAAAATCATGTCTACTCCCAGAATATGCACAACATATTAGGTACACTGTTCAATTTATTCTCATAATAGACAAAATTAATGCAGTTTTATGCACCTCTTTCCATGTCCCCCCTCTGCCCTCTCCGGGGCAGGGGGGTTGGGGGGGGTGTGGACAACTCGACCTTCATAGAAGCTAAAAATCATTTCAAAAGGCACAGCTGGAATGATACCAACTGCTGATGCTCAGGAACAAATTAAAGTGCAACATTTCTTTTAATAAGTCCCTTCTGAGTTCCAATTTCTAAACACCTGGTCTCTTTATATTTATACTGAACTGCCTCAGACTGATTCTTTGTGCAAGCCCTATTAACCAGACCCTGCGAGCAGACGGGCCGACGCAAGGTTGCACCTTTGTCGATCAGAGACTTCAAACATCTGTATGGGAGGCTGGCCATGCGTTCAGCAAATCATTCCCTCACCAGACATGTCGAGTCATGTTCAACTCAGAGAACAGAAAAGCACCTGAGGCTGAGGAGGGTCTCCCTGAAGCAGGACTGGGTGACCGTTTTGCCTGTCAACCACCTTGTATGAGGAAACCTTACCCCACTGTGTAATATGTGGCCCATCATTGATCTGCTTTCTCTATCCACCTTCAGCTGCTGTGGCAAGCTCCACTTTTCCCGCAATTCTGTTCAATGTAGATACAATGCCAATGTCAATTGTCATCATGTCTGGACGATTCCGCTTGTCCAGGCTCGTACAGCGCAGCCCCAAGCCTGCCACCTCCCGAGCCAGAGCGACATCCCAACAGCCTGCATTGGGATCAAGAGCATTTTCAAGCACTGCACCATCTTCCATGGCATCTTCGATGATTCCGAGTGCATTCCAGAAATTCCCAGTGAGAACCTCCAAAAGTGTGACACCCAGCGCATAGATGTCCGTCTTCTCACTGCAAACCCCAGACCGCAGATATTCGGGTGCCATGTATGGAGAATTGCTTCCAAGGAAAGCACGAAAAGAATCTTCTGAGGCCTGCCCTCGGTAAGGCTGTTGGGACACAAGGAGAGCCCGGTCAACCCCACAGAGCTTCGCCACAAAATTGTGATCGAGAAGTACGTTTGCTGGTTTGATGGCACCGTGGATGATGGGACTGCCATTGTCCAGCTGGTTAGAGTGGAGGAAGGATACAGCTCGAGCGATTTCTGCCATTACACGGAGGCGAGAAATCCTCTCCTGTGATTGTCCCCACCTGAAATCCACTGCTTCAGACTTCCGGTCGCCATGTCCTCGTACACCAAACAATTCTCTTCATAACAAACTCCCAACAGCCTCAACAAATTGGGATGCTGCAGGATGCTCAACCTGTCCACCACTTTGTCCTTGAGCTCTGCGTTAGCAATCCTCTGCATGTTTGTATCCCTCACCTTCTTCACCATAATAGGCGTACCATCGTGGAGTTTTCCAGAGTAAACGGAATCATAGTGATGTACATCACCACTTTCCACATTCATGTTGAAGTCGTTTGTAGCTTCCTTGAGCTCCGTCAGAGAATACACTCGTGTTGTGCGTGCAGCAACTTCATTTTCCAGTCGCTGTTGCATTTGATTGATTCTTTCGCTGAAATCTTTAATTAGGGCCATTCTCTTTAGCTCCAACTCCTGAAGCTTTATAGTGGACTCTTCAAGCCTTTCCTCCAGTGCTGCCTTCTGTACTTTGAGGTTTCGCACCTCACCGTGCAGACGTTGGATTTCCTCTGCAAGTTCTGCCCTCTCGGACTCCAGCTCTCCATTCCTCCTTTCTGCAATTGCAAGACTCTCTCCCATTGCCATGCTCTTGCACTTGAGAACTTTTACCTCATCCTCTAAATGCTTCGTCCGGCTTGCTTGCATCGTCTTTTTCTCCCGATGATCTGCTCTCACTTTGTCAAGTTCGTTCTTATGTTTGAGTCTCAGCTCCCCCATCTCTTCCTCTTTTTTCCTGGTTAGCTCAAGTTTGATACGATCCACCTCCTTTCCAACTCTTCAACCTTCTTCTTCTCCTTCAGTTCTTGTGTCCGAACGTGTTTTTTTTCTCTTGTGTTAATCTCAAGAACCTGAAACTGCCCTTGAGCTCCAAGCACGAGCCTGTTAGAGTTTCTGCAGGGAGCCATGCTATGCAGACGTTCGACTCCAAACGGAAACGATGACACCAGCTCGTAGTTTGACTGTCTCCAAACTCTAATTTCTCCATCTCATGACGCACTGAAGATGTAGGGCAAGTGTGCATGGAAAAAGGCAGACATGACCAAGGTCTTGTGTCCTTCCGGTTTGGATATGCAAACTCCTCTTTTGTAGTCCCAGACCCTTACTTTCTTATCACGATGGCCCGTGATCAGAAGCGACTTCTCTTGACCACTACTAAACTCCATGCTATTGATGTGGCCCATTCCTTCTGGATCTCCAAGTGTTTGGGAAGGGGAGAGATTATTTTCCATACCCCAAATTTTGATTGTGCAATCATCTGAGCCACTTGCAAATATATGTGACTCCGTTGGATGAAAAACCAAAGTCGGGACAGTACATATAGTTCCAGAATGACCTTCAAATGTAGCTTTCTTTTGCCAATTCCTGGTCCAGTCCCACAAAAAAATGTCTTCTGAGAAACTGGTAAGTACATATGGTAAGCTATGATGGACCACTAGTCCACATGCACCACCATGATTAGGAGACTTCAGCTCAATGATGTGCCGCAAGCCTGAAGCTTGGATTTCGTACACATCAAAGGATTTGATTCGTCTCACCACAATCCAGTCTTTCTGTGCAATGAATTTTGCGTGTTGACCTTGGCCCCCACCAGGGGTTACCCAAGCTGCAACCCGTGTGCCATCCTCGTAATTCCACACTTGAACTGACTTGCTTGGGTGGCAGTAGGGTACGATCAGAACCCACGGCTTACGAGGATGCAAATCGATGAACACAATGTGCTTACAACCGTCGTCCAAAATTTGAGACCCTGCCTTCTGAAATTCCGTGACAAGTGAGACTTCGCTCTCTGGTTTTGGATCGTCCATGTTTGCCTTCTGCATTAGTTTAACGAGCCATCTGGTTCATCAGTTAGCTATTCAAAATGATTTTTTGTAGCTTGCCCAGCCCACGGATGATGTAAGTCGTGTACTATGGCATAATTGCAAAAAAGATCATGCACTTGAATGATGATTCGGTCACTGCACCATAATTGTGCAATCTGGCCGTCTGCCCAAGGTTTCCAACAGAGTTGCCCCGAGATTTGACTTGTGCTCTCTAATTTTGGAAAGCACAGGAGCAAGACACGTCGATTGTTTTGTCAGAAACACATTACACGTACAAAAGAACCCTCAGAAGTTCTCTGGAAGGAAAGCACAAAGGGAAAAAAAAAAGAAAAAAAAAAGAGAGCAAGGTCTAGAAGCAATGTTGAACGGAGACACTGATGGAAACCAATATATGTGTTGCAACAGTACTAAATCTTTGAAATTTACATCAAGGTTGGACCAGGTTCTTTTGCGCTCTTTTGCCTCCCTTTCTGAAGAAGTGTGTTTCAAGTAGTTGATATGGGGCATAGCCCTAGGAAACAGAGGTGCGCCAAGGTTCCCCCAGGCTGCACGATAATCGAAAGCACAACCCATGGGGCCTAGCTCAGCTGGTACTTTCATGAACCTTCATTTTTTCTGTTTTCACCCACCCAGGAACTGTTGAAATATTACACCCCTGAGATCGAATCCATGGAGCTGGATGTATGAAATAAAGTCGTGAAAAAAACAAAATTGACAGGAAAACATGGAAAAGTGTGATAACTGAATAATGTACAACTTAATTGAAATAAAAGGGCCTTTACCCGATATAGGCCTTAGGCCTTGTAAAAATAGAGCAGCACGGGCCTTGTAAAAGTAAAGCATTGTGAAAAGGTATCTTGCCAGGGCTCAGAAACGTGAAAACAGGTCAAARGTCAAGTTCTCTATCAACAGGCACATCTAAATCTAAGGCAAAGGGCATTGTCAAAAGACTTACCTGTTCACYAGGAGATGTGTAYGTCATGTCTGTTCGGGTAAGGGTGTGTCTGTACGTGCAGGCAGTGAACCTGTTCGTGCAATGGAAAGTGCCTGTTCAAGTAGTAAATGTGTCTGTTCGTTTAGAGTTGTGCCTGTCCGAAAGTGAAGTCAGTAGGCACAGTCCCAGTTCTGGTCTAAGTCAAGGGGTCAGTCCAGATCCAGACTTTCAAGTCCAAATCCAGGCCGAAGTG